GAGAGTAGCCAGATGTGGGCTTCAGTTTTCCCTCTCATCTGCAGGTGTGGGTGGAGAGAGTAGCCAGGTGTGGGCTGCTATACAGTATGATGCGATTAAGGCTTGAGAGTAATAGTCACACAATGGAGATCCCCCACCTCTGTACTTTGACACGGAAAACTGGGGTACTATTATAACACTGACTCCACTTTCTCCAGTATAATCTCCATGACTCCACATATACAAATAAATTAAGCTCACCCACCCTCAACACTTTATGAACACCACTAGTGAATACCACGTGACCTGCTCAGGAATGGAGACAGTCTCTCGGGCAATGGACTATCTATCTGATAACACAATAATGAGGAATTCCCACTCGACAGGGGAATGCTAAAATTATTTAGCTATTGACTCCAGTTAGTTGATACACTTGAAGACCTTATATCCTACTTAACTTAAAGGGCCATGCCCTGAGATCACCATCCTATGTCCTCCACACCACAGGGTAGCTGGGTGGCCGAGTGGACAGCGCTCTAAACTCGTGGACCTAGGGACCGGGGTTCGATCCCCACACCCAGCGGAGACAGATGGGCAGAGTTTCCGTAACCCTGATGCACCTGTTACCTAGCAGTAAATAGGTACCTGGGAGTTGGACAGCTGCTACGGGCTGCTTCCTGGGTGTGTGTGTGTGTATATGTGGAGGGAAAAAAATTAGTTAGTAAGTAATTAGTAACAGTTGATTGATTGACAGTTGAGAGGCAGGCCAAAAGAGCAGAGCTCAACCCCTGCAAGTACAACTAGGTGAACACAACTAGGTGAATACAGACCAAGGTACAACTGACTCAAAACACCCGCGGGACTGCCTGCATGCAACCTGTGTTCCGACAAATGCGCTCGAACGCATTTGTCGAACGAACGTTCGCTTGAACGTTCGAGCACCCTAGACCTAATAACGTCCTTACTAAGCTATCTCTACAGAGCTAACCTTCATTTATTTCGAAACGGTAAAGCAAAATCAGCTGAATATTACTATGCCAACACCTAAGTAAATGAAGCAGTACTAATTAAATAGTATCTAACACACGGCCTCCATACAGGCTGGAGGTGGTAGGCCTGGCCTGGCTCTGACTGCTGCCACATGTACACAGGACTGAGAGTAGCATGACTGTTACACAAGACTACTAACTTAATATACCCTCACAGGTGAAAGGTATAGGTAACACAGTTTTCATAATGTAAGCCTATAACTGAAATACTGACATAAACAAGACGTACAGTAACTGACATGCATAAACTTGGCAGCGGGCCGCATGTACAACATGGGGGAGTGGACTCACTCTCTTCCCCTCAGTAATTGGTAAATCATTAAACTATACACAGTATGTAAGAACATATATGGCAAGCCGCCAGTTTATCCACACATTTATACTGACGACTCCACAACTCATAAACACAGCTCGGGGTCAAGGAAACAGCCAGCAACATACTCAACCACCTTACTCGTATGACAATGTTGGCAATTCCGTAATATCTGACATACGGTCAGCCTCTCGGAGCAGCCTATAGTACCACCTGCCTCCTCACTGATCTGCGTGCGCCCTTGCGCGCCCTCACATATCCATACAACACATACAATACATGCTAAATCATCCAAGATACATGAATAATACTCTCATGCTTTCTCTCATGCTCAACTATAGGCAATCCAAAGCACCATGCTATCTTTATTCCATCTAATGATTATTTTTTACTACTTAATCAAATATTCGTTACGAATCAGTTATTCATATATTTGAAATAACAGGTTCGTGACATGGGCTTCTGTGTTCCTTCTCATCTGTAGGTGTGGGTAGGGAGAGTAGACATGTGTGGGCTTCTGTGTTCCTACTAATCTGCAGGTGTGGTGTGAAGAGTAGCCAGGTGTGTGCTTCTTTGTTCCCACTCATCTACAGGTGTGGGTGGCGAGAGTAACCAGGTGTGGGCTTCTGTGTTCCCTCTCATCTACAGGTGTGGGTGGGGAGAGTAACCAGGTGTGGGCTTCTGTGTTCCCTCTCATCTACAGGTGTGTGTGAAGAGTTGCCAGGTGTGGGCTTCAGTGTCCCCTCTTATCTGCAGATGAGGGCTTCAGTGTTCCCTCTCATCTACAGGTGTTGGTGGGGAGAGACTCTTGCGAGGACTTCACCGGAAGGACGTCACTGGTGATGAACTTTGTATCAGGATCCAAGACATTCAGAAGAAAACGAATTACCTCCGAGAGCTTGGTGCGTCGCTTAACAATTTTAAGTTCCTTCTCATATATTAGATTGTTGAGACCAGCCTCACGAGACCAATAATGTACAAGGACACATCTACGAGGAGCTGGTTGTTGAGACCTGCCTCACGAGACCAATAATGTACAAGGACACATCTACGAGGAGCTGGTTGTTGAGACCAGCCTCACGAGACCAATAATGTACAAGGACACATCTACGAGGAGCTGGTTGTTGAGACCAGCCTCACGAGACCAATAATGTACAAGGACACATCTACGAGGAGCTGGTTGTTGAGACCAGCCTCACGAGACCAATAATGTACAAGGACACATCTACGAGGACCTGGTTGTTGAGACCAGCCTCACGAGACCAATAATGTACAAGGACACATCTACGAGGAGCTGGTTGTTGAGACCTGCCTCACGAGACCAATAATGTACAAGGGACACAGATGTACATGTGTAGATGTACAGTAATCTACAGATGTACATGTGTAGATGTACAGTAATCTACAGATGTAGATGTGTAGATGAACAATAATCTACAGATGTAGATGTGTAGATGAACAATAATCTACAGATGTACATGTGTAGATGAACAATAATCTACAGATGTACATGTGTAGATGAACAATAATCTACAGATGTACATGTGATGATGAACAATAATCTACAGATGTACATGTGTAGATGAACAATAATCTACAGATGTACATGTGTAGATGAACAATAATCTACAGATGTACATGTGTAGATGAACAATAATCTACAGATGTACATGTGTAGATGAACAATAATCTACAGATGTACATGTGTAGATGAACAATAATCTACAGATGTACATGTGTAGATGAACAATAATCTACAGATGTACATGTGTAGATGAACAATAATCTACAGATGTACATGTGTAGATGTACAGTAATCTACAGATGTACATGTGTAGATGAACAATAATCTACAGATGTACATGTGTAGATGAACAATAATCTACAGATGTACATGTGTAGATGAACAATAATCTACAGATGTACATGTGTAGATGAACAATAATCTACAGATGTACATAATACTGAGACCAATGTCCTCCTTCACACGAGGACCTCGCTGGAACTCTTACCACTGACGGGTTTATCAAAGTTTTATCACAAGTTGGGTTTAGTAAGACATACAACAAGACCATGTGTATGTTTGTGGTTTGTATAAGTTTTTGTGTGTTAGTTGTATGATAAATATATCCAAAGGTTACTTGATCAACCAGGCTGTGACTTTAGGCTGTGAGCTGACGCGTCTAACATCCTGGATGACCAGACCAGCAGCCAGGAGACATGGTCGGAGACCAGACCACCAGCCAGGAGACATGGTCGGAGACCAGACCACCAGCCAGGAGATATGGTCGGTAACCAGACCAACAGCCAGGAGACATGGTCGGAGACCAGACCACCAGCCAGGAGACATGGTCGGAGACCAGACCACCAGCCAGGAGACATGGTCGGAGACCAGACCACCAGCCAGGAGACATGGTCGGTGACCAGACCAGCAGCCAGGAGACATGGTTGGAGACCAGACCACCAGCCAGGAGACATGGTCGGTGACCAGACCAACAGCCAGGAGACATGGTCGGTGACCAGACCAACAGCCAGGAGACATGGTCGGAGACCAGACCAGCAGCCAGGAGATATGGTCGGTAACCAGACCAACAGCCAGGAGACATGGTCGGAGACCAGACCACCAGCCAGGAGACATGGTCGGTGACCAGACCAGCAGCCAGGAGACATGGTTGGAGACCAGACCACCAGCCAGGAGACATGGTCGGTGACCAGACCAGCAGCCAGGAGACATGGTCGGAGGCCAGACCACCAGCCAGGAGACATGGTCGGAGACCAGACCAGCAGCCAGGAGACATGGTTGGAGACCAGACCACCAGCCAGGAGACATGGTCGGTGACCAGACCAACAGCCAGGAGACATGGTCGGTGACCAGACCAACAGCCAGGAGACATGGTCGGAGACCAGACCACCAGCCAGGAGACATGGTCGGTGACCAGACCAACAGCCAGGAGACATGGTCGGTGACCAGACCAGCAGCCAGGAGACATGGTCGGAGACCAGACCAGCAGCCAGGAGACATGGTCGGAGACCAGACCAGCATCCAGGAGACATGGTCGGTGACCAGACCAACAGCCAGGAGACATGGTTGGTGACCAGACCAGCAGCCAGGAGACATGGTCGGAGACCAGACCAGCTGCCAGGAGACATGGTCGGAGACCAGACCAACAGCCAGGAGACATGGTCGGTGACCAGACCAGCAGCCAGGAGACATGGTCGGAGACCAGACCAGCAGCCAGGAGACATGGTCGGAGACCAGACCACCAGCCAGGAGACATGGTCGGTGACCAGACCACCAGCCAGGAGACATGGTCGGAGACCAGACCACCTGCCAGGAGACATGGTCGGTGACCAGACCACCAGCCAGGAGACATGGTCGGTGACCAGACCACCAGCCAGGAGACATGGTCGGTGACCAGACCAACAGCCAGGAGACATGGTCGGTGACCAGACCAACAGCCAGGAGACATGGTCGGTGACCAGACCAGCAGCCAGGAGACATGGTCGGAGACCAGGGGTCATGGTCCCCAGAACCACCAACTGGTAGACTACAAGTGGGTGGTATGAATGTGTGTGATGGTGGATTAAAGGATTTCTTGAGTCTATTGTATGAATGAGTTTTAGGCTGTAGTATTAATAAGCTTTGGTATGCTGTTGGTATGAGTGAGTTTTGGTATGCTGGAGGTATGAGTGAGTTTTGGTATGCTGGAGGTATGAGTGAGTTCTGGTATGCTGGAGGTATGAGTGAGTTTTGGTATGCTGGAGGTATGAGTGAGTTCTGGTATGCTGGAGGTATGAGTGAGTTTTGGTATGCTGGAGGTATGAGTGAGTTCTGGTATGCTGGAGGTATGAGTGAGTTTTTGTATGCTGGAGGTATGAGTGAGTTCTGGTATGCTGGAGGTATGAGTGAGTTTTGGTATGCTGGAGGTATGAGTGAGTTTCGATATGCTGGAGGTATGAGCGAGTTTTTGTATGCTGGAGGTATGAGTGAGTTCTGGTATGCTGGAGGTATGAGTGAGTTCTGGTATGCTGGAGGTATGAGTGAGTTTTGGTATGCTGGAGGTATGAGTGAGTTTGGATATGCTGGAGGTATGAGTGAGTTCTGGTATGCTGGAGGTATGAGTGAGTTCTGGTATGCTGGAGGTATGAGTGAGTTTTGGTATGCTGGAGGTATAAGTGAGTTTGGATATGCTGGAGGTATGAGTGAGTTCTGGTATGCTGGAGGTATGAGTGAGTTCTGGTATGCTGGAGGTATGAGTGAGTTCTGGTATGCTGGAGGTATGAGTGAGTTCTGGTATGCTGGAGGTATGAGTGAGTTTTGGTATGCTGGAGGTATGAGTGAGTTCTGGTATGCTGGAGGTATGAGTGAGTTTTTGTATGCTGGAGGTATGAGTGAGTTCTGGTATGCTGGAGGTATGAGTGAGTTTTGGTATGCTGGAGGTATGAGTGAGTTTGGATATGCTGGAGGTATGAGCGAGTTTTTGTATGCTGGAGGTATGAGTGAGTTCTGGTATGCTGGAGGTATGAGCGAGTTGTGGTATGCTGGTGGTATGAGTGAGTTTTGATATGCTAGAGGTATGAGTGAGTTTTGGTATGCTGGAGGTATGAGTGAGTTTTGGATGTTATGCACTGTGTTAGATAATGTTCCAGTGGTCTGTCGGGCATTTCTCCACAGTGCTGACATTTCCTCTCATCTTCTGGAACTTGTAAGCCTATTTCCCATGCACATTGGTATCCAAGCCTGATGCGATGTATGTGTACTTCAGTTGTTCTACTGTTCCCTTTCATCAAAATAAGTGGTTCGTAGTTCGTTGAATTCTTGTACCAAACCGCAGATCCTGTTGTTGCAACTGCTGTGTTGTGGTCACTGTACATCTTCTGCATTGCTCAGTTTCTAATTAATTAATCTGTGATAGACTCTGTGGTATGTAAATGGTAACATTTCTTCTTTTAGTTGCAAGATTTGCAGCATCGTCTGCAATGTGATTTCCTGTTATTCCCACATGACTTGGCACCCAGTTGACAAGTACCCGACAGCCTTGACGTTTGAGTGTTTGCATTTTAGTATGCTGGTGGAATGAATGAGTTTTGGTGTGTTGGTGGTATGAATGAGTTTTGGTATGCTGGTGGTATGAATGAGTTTTGGTATGCTGGTGGTATGAATGAGTTTCCGTATGCTGGTGATATGAACGAGTTTTGTTATGTTGGTGGTACGAATCAGTTTTAATATGGTGGTGGCATGCATGAATTTTGGTATGCTGGTGGTATGAATTAGTTTTGGTGCATTGATGGCATGAATGGGTTTTGTATAATGATAGTATGAATGAGTTTTTGTATGATGATAGTATGAATGAGTTTTAGTATACATTGTTTGAATGAGTTTTATTATGTTAGAGGTATGAATGTATTTTATTTTGCTGGAGTTTCCTTCCTTGAGGTTACCGTTAGGTGGTTTCGAGACTTAGCGTCCCCGAGGCCCTGTCCTCGACCAGGCCTCCTCGTTGCTGGACTGGTCAACCAGGCTGTTGGACGCGGCTACTCGCAACCTGACATATGAATCACAGCCTGGTTGATCAGGCCTCCTTTGGAGGTGCTTATCAAGTTCTCTTGAACACTGTGAGAAGTCGGCCAGATATACCCCTTATGTTTAGTAGAAGGTATAAATAAGCATTTGTATGCTGATTTTATGAATAAGTTTTGGTATGTAATTGATATATTAGCATTTTCTACATTATATTATCAATATGACTATCTTTACTATTGTTTTGAATCACAATTATTAGTTTTTCTCTTTATTTGTTAATGGATTTTAGTTATTGTAACATTTTAGGGATTTTAGGCATTGAGAATTTTTGTCTGATTTTAGTCTGTCTTAACCTTATTATCTTCAAGATCAAGCAGGAGCATATATACACCTGTGTTATTGTAAGTTGCTTAATGTGCAACTAAATACAGTAAGTTGCCTACTGCAACTTACTGTAATACATTAAGCAGCTTACCGTATATGTACTTTAATATTATCAGTATCATATTGCTAACTTGCTCTAATACAGTAGGAAGCCTTTTGGGCACTTACTTTATTACAGTAAGTAACGTATTGTACAAGATCTTTTGTACAGTAAGCAGCTTACTGTTCAAGTAGTTTAATACAGTAAGTGTCCTTCTGCACACTTAAATGAACAATTTCTTTAGTAAAGAAACTACCATAAGTACGCCTCCTTTGATATTGTAAGTAATACTGTACTATATTTTATATAGTAAAGTACAACAACTATTAAATTAAGTACATGCATTATCTGAAATAAAGTACATATGAGTTTAAACAATTTAAACATTTTTATTTTCACTCATTCTCTGAGGCCTATTGTTTGGAGGTATTAACTTGCTAGTGGTATATGATATGACTTTTTCAACAGAAACAGAGTAAGACAAATCCGAGTGGTAAACGTTGCCAATGGTCCTCAGGACTCTGGCCAGGGACCTGTCTTGTTTACCGTATATAAACCATGTAGATGAAAATAATAAATTAATTTTCTTAATAAATTAAGAAAAACTTAAAATCGTTACAAGAAGACTTAGGCTTTTAAAATTAAACAAAAGATTTACATATGCTGGTCAAAACTGTCTATGCTCAGTTCAATATTACTTTGGCTTTCCTTTGAATGACTGGAGAAGAAAGTCTTATTTTGATAATTTTCTCATTGATGATGACCTAACTGGTCACATCTGAGGGTATAAGACTCCGTGATTGTGACAACCTATCCTGACATTTTCCTGTCATAGACACCTTCACTATACCTCACTATCAAACTATTGCTGCTGACAGTGAGAACAGTAACCAACCTTAAAACATTTAAACTGGGAGAAAGCCACTAATGCTGACCTGGAAAAGCTTAAAGTGTCTGTTTAACAGAAAACTTGATAATATGCATTTATCAATTATTGCAACTGTCAACACAAATCTTCAGTGTAATATCTATCAAAACAGTTTCAATTACTCATTTCCCTTCTGTCATATCAGTGTTAGTTAAGGAAGGGGAGAGAGAATCCTTCTAAAAAACAAATAGAAGAAGAATGCCTGGTTGGAATTGTCACGTTAAAGAATTCCAAATTATATCTATCATTGGGATACCCTGTGGCAAGATGCTGGGTACCCCAGAGATGGCTGGGATACTCTGTGGCAAGATGCTGGGTGTCCCATAGATGGCTGGGATACTCTGTGGCAAGATGCTGGGTGCCCCAGAGATGGCTGGGATACTCTGTGGCAAGATGCTGGGTGCCCCAGAGATGGCTGGGATACCCTGTGGCAAGATGCTGGGTGTCCCATAGATGGCTGGGATACTCTGTGGCAAGATGCTGGGTGCCCCAGAGATGGCTGGGATACTCTGTGGCAAGATGCTGGGTGTCCCATAGATGGCTGGGATACTCTGTGGCAAGATGCTGGGTGTCCCATAGATGGCTGGGATACTCTGTGGCAAGATGCTGGGTGCCCCAGAGATGGCTGGGACACTCTGTGGCAAGATGCTGGGTGCCCCAGATATGGCTGGGATACTCTGTGGCAAGATGCTGGGTGCCCCAGAGATGGCTGGGATACTCTGTGGCAAGATTCTGGGTGTCCCAGAGATGGCTGGGATACACTGTGGCAAGATGCTGGGTGTCCCAGAGATGGCTGGGATACACTGTGGCAAGATGCTGGGTGCCCCAGAGATTGCTGGGATACTCTGTGGCAAGATGCTGGGTGCCCCAGAGATGGCTGGGATACTCTGTGGCAAGATGCTGGGTGTCCCAGAGATGGCTGGGATAGACTGTGACAAGATGCGGGGTGTCCCAGAGATGGCTGCCTGTCCCAGACCAGACCAAGAACTAGTGCTCTAACCATCATAATATTAACAGGATTAAAGACAAAACAAATATTATACAATCAAAGGATTTCTGATTGCCTTCAAAGAAACAAGTTTTATGAATTTTGGGATGAAATAATAAAGTTACGTGAGAGTAAGGAACGTCATGGAAGATTCCTCTGGGCCTGTATCACATGTAATACTTTCAGAGATAAGTATTCTACACAATACAGCAGAGCTGTATACAGGACACGAGACTGAACCTGACCTTCCTTCAGTTCTCTGTTACATCTGTTTACATTTGACCACTAATGTTTTAAAATTGAAATAATTTTATTTCAAAATGAATTTCTTGTTTTGAAATTAAAATAAATTTATTGAGGTATAAATTACACACGTAGAGTTGAAGCAGCTCAAGCTATTCTCTATGCCGTCCAGTCCAACGTGTTCATATTTACCTGAATTTGCCAGAGGGCCACAATCTCTCGAGTGGCCTCGACAAGGAAAGAAAGCCGAAGGCTTGTCAAATGTTCCCCCATTTGTCCTGATGATTTTATCTATTTGGATCTTAAATTGTAGCAGTGTTTTGACATTTACGGCTTCGGCGGGTAGGCGGTTCCATGGGTTTACAATAAAAACATCACCTTTCTTCTGTCCTAAATTGTGTCTTGTTGAGCTTAAAACCGTTGCTATTTGTTTATGTTACATCTGACCTTCTGAAGAAGTGGTCTGGATCAACAAATTCTTCAATATTTTAAGTTTCGATGAGATCAGCCTTGTCATGCCTGGTTTGCTGTGTTGTTAACCCTGTAAACCCTCAACTATTCCTCGTACGGGAACCCACTTGGTTCAAGAATGATTTTTCTCGCCCGGTGTTGAACTTTTTCTTAAGCAGATGTGCCTTTCTGAAGCTGAGGTCTCCATGTTTGGACACAATAATACAAGCACCAGAGATTTATACTGTTGAATAGCTACTCTATTTTCCCTGATATCAAAGTTACGTCTGACTATTCCTAGGACATAGTTGGCTTGTTTTACTGCAGCTTCCACTTGTTGAGCAACTTTTACTGATTTGTGGATTCTGACTCCAAGCTCCTTCTTCATCAACCTCCTGCAAGGTAATATTTTTGATTTGATAGTTGTGCTGTGCAATGTTATGCCCCACATGCAAGGTCATGGCATTTTTCGATATTAAAGAGCATCTGCCAATCTTCTGACACTTGTGGATTTCATGAAGATCGCTTTGTAAGACTTCAATATAATGTTCACTCCCTACTTTACCATAAATCTTAGCGTCATCTACAATTTTATTGATATGCTTTGTAATATTCTATTTTATGTCAGTGATGTATATGACAAAAATGGTTGGCCCAAAATGGAACCTTGCGGTACTCCACTCATCACATTTCTCCAGTTAGAGTTATTTCCGTTTAGAACGACACTTTGCTTTCTTTGCTTTAATCATTGTGTTATCCATTCTAGTGAGACATACACCAACGGTCGCCTTGTGTGAGACATACACAACGGTCACCTTGTGTGAGACATACACCAACGGTCACCTTGTGTGATACATACACCAACGGTCACCTTGTGTGAGGCATACACCAACGGTCACCTTGTGTGAGACATACACCAACGGTCACCTTGTGTGAGCCATACACCAACGGTGACCTTGTGTGAAACATACACCAACGGTCCCCTTGTGTGAGCCATACACCAACGGT